TAGAAGGCAAATAGGACTGATTGATCATGGTGTGGCATCTGGGAATAGTTACTGCTGCAGATAGTAAAGAGAACACATTTTTTTAAAAAAAGAATCTATTTTGCTTTGATTTAGGACAACAGGAAAAACATCTGTGGGGTGAATAGGTGTGCAATATTCCAGTGTACTCTGTGTTGAAATTGAATGCTTTTTAAAAGATAGCTGTTTACAGCATGGAGCAAGATATTGTTTTGTCCATACACCCAATTTTACATCTTGATCCTGGGCCTTGCAAGCAATGCAGTCGGTCCTGTTCCCATATCTGGAAGCTGTGCACATCTGGATGGGGAGGAACAGAGTCAGGCTCAATCATGATAGGACTGGATGGCTGTGGATAATTGGGATGTGTGTACTTTTAATCTTCAATCTAGTGTACTAGTTGTACTCATTCCTGGTCACTAATTCCCCAGTAACCTCATGAATGGATTACTGCAGTGGGTTATACATGGGGCTGCCCTTGAAGAAAATCAGAAGCTGCAGTTGATCCAGGATGCAACAACATGAGCATTAATGGGTGCACCTCAGTATGTCTATGCAACGTCACTGCTATGTGATTAGCATTGTCTCTCAAGTACACATGTAGGTAAAATTAAACAATTCATTTCTAAAACTTATTTTTACATTAGGTCCAAACGGATCATTCAATCATCGTTGGTACAGAGATCCTGAATTGATTTAACATATTCAAAATATACTTTTGTTTCTGTCTCTGTCTCAATGAGAGGGATTTGTGGAAGAAAGAAACTTCTTATTTTAACAAGTAATCTCTCTCCTTCGCTCCATCCATTCAGCTGAACAGTTTAATGACCTCAATTTGTTCTCTGGGATGTTTTGAATGAGTGAAAGCAAACACAGAATAAAAACTTAGTGATTTCCTGAAAAGATGCAAGATAACATGCGACTTTGCATATGGGAATGATTTGAGGAGCAATTAAAAGAAGATGATAAGCATGCAAAATGTAACAGGGAAAGGCAACAACTAACTACCCACAGATATTTCTAAAGCAAAACAATAAAGCCAGTCTAACATTGCTATACCAGATGCAAGATCAAATGGTATTAGATTAACCCCTATGCTCTCTGACACGCCAGAGATCCCCAGCCAGACGAAGGGATGATATATCTATGTGTCCTATGTTCATACAATATTTATTTATCAAATGTATACATCCACCCATCTCACTAACGTGACTCTGGGCAGTATACAATTAAAAAAGAAAAGAAAAAAGAATCTTAAGTAGACATTTAAACATTAACAAAACACAAACAGGATTATGGGAGATTGCACTCAATTTTCACATACAATGCAACCATCTTGGGATCCCCAAGCCTACTAACACCCCCCCACCCCCGATTTTAAGGTATTTCTGAAAAGACAATAGTGTTAAAGCTAAATGGGGGAAGGGGGGGGGATGAAGTTTCAAATGGTGGGTGCCACGGAAGAAAAGGCTCTCTTCTTGGGTCCCATCAGATGAAACTCTTTAGCAAACAGGACCCACAGCAGGCCCTCCTGCCAGAGCTGATGGGATGGGTAAATGTAACCAAGGACAGATGTTCCTTCAAATATTTAATATCTAAAAGTCATTCCTTAAAAAAAAGAATGTAAACTGAGGAAATTATATGTCTGAGAAGCAACAAGAGGAATGAGTTGGTGTCCTAGCTTAACCTTTCTGGAGCATCTGGTTAGCCACAGCATGAATCTGGAGCAGACCATCATAGGTTCATAAATGCATTCATTACATTTATAATAGGGGGATAGAAAGTAAGGATATTATACCCTCTATGTGACTGAATTCAAAGTACGACATGTTAACATACAAGAAAAGAACGATTTCTTGACAAGCATTTTATATGAGAAGAAAGCCAAAGATAACATTGAAACTCGTCTTTTATTAGTAGAAGAATTACAAGAGCAAATAGCAAACAATACAATGTCAGACTAGGAAAAAACCCCACAGTTATAGTTAATTAACAGAAGAAAAAAAAAAGACCCGTTAACACATGTGCATGCACAAACACACAATCACTGTGGTTTTCTTCATCTAAAACATGATTAATAACAGATGTACAGTACAGCATTACAACAGATGCCATTTTCATAGAGTTTTGGGGGGGCTGCCTTTGAGTCAGGATTTCTGGCAATTGCCTGGACGAGTCTCTGCAGTTTTCCTGGCAAGTTTTCCCCCCAGAAATGGTTTGCCATTGCCTCCTTCCTAGGGCTGAGGGAATTAAGGTGGCTGGCTTTGTGCCTGAGGCAGGATTATAAATCACTGTCTATGGGTTTCTAGACTGATGTCTTAACCACTACATCGAATTGGTGTTCTATTTTCAATGATGGTATCCTCATATTCTGTCTTCCCAAGTACTGGATTATAACTCCCAAGACTCCCAGTCACTGTTACCAAGGTTTGATTTAGCATCTTGTATGAATCCAGATATTACAGTTTGTAAGCGTCAATTTAAGGTTTCAGGTGGTTCAGCATTATACACAGGGGTGAAATTCAGCAGGTTCTGAAGAACTGGTAGCTGAAATTTTGAGTAGCTCAGAGAACCGACAAATATCACCTCTGGCTAGTCCCAGAATGAGGTGGGAATGGAGATTTTGCAATATCCTTCCCCCAAGAGTGGGGAGGGAATGGAGATTTTGCAGTATTCTTCCCCTGCCACGCCCACCAAGCCACGCCCACAGAACCGGTAGTAAAAAAAATTGAATTCCACCACTGATTATACAAACAATGACTTTGCTTGAGTGTGACTCCAGCCTAGAGACAGACAGGAATGGCCCCTCAAATCCTGCTGGAGGAAGACTGGTTCCAAACCAGCACTTTGTATTGGCCTAAGAAGGAGAAGTTGCCTCTCTCTTCATCTGCCCCCCAAATAGTCAGCCCAAGATTTCTGAAAATACAGAAGAGCCGCACCGACTCCTGACCCTGTTCAAAGGTGAAAGGATAATTGCATGATCTCTGTTCAAAAAGAATCCCGGCCAAGGATCAGCCTGACCCCATCTGCATGTCAATGCCTGTTTAAAATCTACCATTAAGTTCTGGCATTCTCCAACTCATCTTCTTCTTCTCAATCATTTGAGGCTGGCCCAGAACATTTTGTTCCTTGTGTCCTTGCCTCTCCTCATTCCCCTTACAGGTGCAGACCAGTCAGGTCTTCACCACTCATCACTAAACAGAGCAGCTTAGTGGGCATGCAGTTCTGCCCAATAATCCTGCAACTGCTTATCCCTAGTGTTAAATTTAAATTTACCGACAAAGAAATAAAGGAAGACTAATATAGCTATTTCAGCTAGACATACCTTTCTGGGATTTGAACCCAGGCCACTTGCATATGGCTAGCTGATGGTTAGCTAGGTTACAAAATAGTTTGTAGCAGAAGCAACTGCCTGCAAAGGCTCTTGAATTGGGGCTGAAAGGCAAAAACAGAAGCAGTGTGCTCTGGCCCATTTTTGGGTAGACCAAATTACCCTGAGAAGACCAGTCTCACCAGAAAAATGCTTATTCCTAACTTCCCCAGTATCTGCTTGCTGTTGGCTCAAAAGTTAAAATGTATGGCAGCAGCCTCAGCATGACGCACTGCTCTGTGCATGCCCTGGACTGGTTGACTCTCTGCTGCTTGCATCATTTTCTGGGGCTTCTCACAATTTTTCCCCGTGATCTTCTACAAAATGGTGATGAGGTGTGACAGCCAACTAGAGTGGACTAGTAAGAAAAGCTGATTCAACAACTGTGGAGCTATTCAGTATAGCAATGGCTGCAGATTTTAAAGCAAATTGGATAAATTGATAGAGGACTGGGCTAACAATGGCCAGGAATCCCAGACAGTTAATATATAGTAACAATGGGAGTGAGAGATGCTTTTTCCTATTACTATTGTGAATTTCTTGAAAGCATCTGGTTGGCCTTTGTAGGGCCTGATGGAGGAAACTTCTTACATTATGAGATGGTAGAGCTTCATTTCACTCAATAGCAGAGCTAGCTCTGCTGTGTATCTGCTGATAAATATAATCTTGAAAGACCATGCTACATTGTTCACACTTTTTAAAAACATACTAATTTCATTATTAAAAATGTAGGAAGTTAGCACCCGCGCCTCTCCAAGAATGAAATATTCTAAGAAATATTAAAAAGGCAGAATATTATATTTCCCTGGATGAGAAATGGAGAAACATGCTTTTTTTTAGGCAGGAAGCAGACTCACTTTTAATAGCCCCCACCCTCCTCAATAGCCCACAGCAGATGCCAGCACTTAACAGATAAAGAGATGGCTAGATCTATTCATAAGTAAATACCCTCACCCAAGATCCAAGGAAGGTAGGATTAGCCCTCAGCCATAACAGGAATTGCCTAAAACCCTCTTCATTACATCGTCACCCAGGAAGATTCAACCAAGCCTGGGACTCAAGATAACCTACAAAGTTACCCCTGCATGGACCCATGGGAGTCTGACAACCAATCAGGATACTTACACAGGAACAGGAAACTCTAAGGTGGGGCCCAAGAGAGGATATAAATATATATCTTCCATGTGCTCATTTTGCCCAGGACCCAAAAAACCCATGTGATCCTGTCCACTATTAAACCATCTTTCCAAGCAGTCTCCATGTTTCCAGTGTCTTTCTCCCCACTTGGAACTGGACCCAGATGGACATTTCTTCCAACAAAAGGAAAAAAAGGTCCCTGAACTGGTTTAACTTCCTACTTTCTACTTACTACTTTCAAAATCAAAGTACCTATTTTATTTAGAATGTAATAAAAAAGTAAATAAAGCATCAACATTAAGCATAATGTTAAAATGATGGTTTGCTGTTAAAAACCTTTACTGTTGATGTGTGTGTGTTTCTTTATTATATACTCACAACAGGACAAGGGGGAAGGAAGTTACATAGACCAAAGAAAGAGAGTGGAAAACCAAATGTAATGCAGAATAACAAAGACAGTTTGAAAGAACACTGGTTTGTTTTTTGTGATCATTACAAAAAGCAAATTTATTTTCCGAGCTTGTGGCTTTGTGGCATACCAAATGCAAATAAACTATTAAAAGACCTGTCCTTATTTGTTAACTTTGCAGTTAATTTCTCCTTGGGATAAACTTTGTCATTATCTCACCCAGTTCTTAGCTTTCTTTCCAAATATTTAGAGTTTCTTTTCTTCTTCTTCTTCACTGTTTTCTTTTGTTTCTTTAGTCTTTTTTCCTCTGTTAAAGATGCCACCATAGGCAACCCCACAGCATTTCAAATGATGTCCTGTCGGCCACCTCCCCTCTCCCCACCTTCCAAACGTGCAAAACAGTTAAAGCTGTTTGGGAAGGAGAAGCAGAGCTCTGCCGATGACCTTGGCAGGAAGGAAGTGGTCTACATGTTTTCTGCATCTGCCTCCCCTTGTCCTCATGGCAATGCAGTGGTCTTTTTTCTTCTGTGGCTCTAAGCGGAAGAAATCTAAAGTCTGTAAGACAAACCAAATACATTGTTCACTGCTAAGGTAACTCATTCACCAGGATCGTTCGAGCCTCAACCCAACCAAATTGGGGGGGGGCAGGGAAAGAGAGGGCGTGTATGTAAACCTAAACTTTGATGTGTCATAAAGAACATTAGATTTTTGTGGGTAAGAAACTTTGGAGTGAGTCCTTTGTTGCTTGGAGGGGTAAAGATGGTACAACTGTGTGTGAAAGGACCCGATTTGCTGCAAGGTATGCTAATAACTCAGAAAGAGTTGCTGAAATCTGATCTCTTCATGGGGCCATTCTAGTGACATTCAGAAAAGTCGTCTCTGGTTTAATCTGTGTGTAAAGCTATAGCAAAGCGAAGAGTACCCTGAGTTCATATTTCATGGACAAGTCCTTGCAGTTCACAATATGTAATATTGTACCATGCCATTTACCTTTGCCAAAGATGCTTTTTCAAAACTCCAGTCTAGTAGTTTTCAGAAAGAAGGGATTTTTCTTTTTTTACACAGTGCGTGTTTTTTGTGCCTTTAGAGAAAGGTCTAATGCTGGGATAGCTGGAAGGAAAAAGAAGAAAAGGATGATAGGTTGTATATAAAACTGTGTTAACCATGGGCCTTAATATTCACTTTAGCTGAGATATAACAGTGACTCTTAGTCTTTTACTGCGATATATTTAATATATTGAACTTTTTATAACTAATGATACCTTAGAAAGGTAAAACATTATAAAATCCTTGATTTATTCATCAGTATTATATTCTTTCTAAAAAATCTTTCTTGTACCTGTTTATGGGTAGTGTGATGACTCAGCAGTTAAAAACACTGAGCTTGTTAGCTGGTCAGGGATGAAATCTACTTACCTTCCTTACCCGTTCGGAAGCACATGGGCCGTACGCGTGCTCTCCCTTTGCTCGCATGCATGTGCGCATCAAATGTGCATGCACACCTTCTGTGCATGTGCAAAACCTTCTGTGCATGCGCAGAAGGTAAAAAACATTACTTCCTGGTAATGATCTGGTCCGATCCGGGAGCATTTTACCCCTGGCCTGGGTTTGAGACCCGAGGACTGAGCAATGGGGTGAGCTCCCTACCTCAGCTCCTGCTCACCTAGCAGTTCGAAAACACACAAATGCAAGTAGATTAATAGGTACTACTTTGGTGGGAAGGCAATAGTGTTCTGTGCATCTTTGGCATATAGCTCTGCTGGCCACATGACCACAGAAAATGTCTTTGGACAACGTTGGCTCTCTTGGCTAAGAAACGGAGATAAGCATTGTGCCCTAGAGTCGGATTGGACAAGGAAACCTTTACCATTACTTTTGCCTGTTTATATATTTTCTTTAAAGTGTCCAATAAAAATGTGAAAAAGAGTTTTACATTTTTTTGGCAAGCTAGAGAAGTTGTGTATTAAGTCACTTCACTAAGTCACTTTTGACACTTTTTGATATGAACATAATAATCTAAAAAGGGAACACAGAACACTGATGCCACATAGTGGCATGAACTATAATAGCAACCCTTGCTTTAAAATAGCTTTTCCTAAGTACTTTCAATACTGAAACTTTAGAAAATAATTATCATTCAAGTTACTTGTGCCATGGATTATCACATCACAGGTCTGTTCCTGTAATCCAGGGATCGGCAACCTGAGGCATTTCAGGCCTCGCTAAATATGTTTACAATTTGGTCTGGGAGGCCTCAAAGTTATCCCAGGATTACAGGCTTCGCTGGAAAGCCAGTGAATCATCCTGGAGCGAGTCAATGGCATCCTGGATGGGAAATCAATTGTAATGTTGTCAAGAAAATGTCCATGAAGTCACCATAAGTTTTAGTATGAAGTCTTAGTATGAAGAATTGCCTTTTAAAAAATATTAATATAAAGTGGATTAATTACAGAGCTCTTTGCTGAATTGTCTGCTTAGTCTCTGATTCTTGCCTTGTGGGATATTGGCTCGTGGCTGTGGTTGATTTTGTGGGCATGCTGTTTTTTTTTTTTAACCAGAAAAAAAGCTGTTGCATCTGCCTGTATCTGCTAGGTGTTGCTCTAAAAATTGTCTATGGAGATTCTCAGTCATCTGAGTCATAGTTGTTTCAAAGGTGCTTTTTCAAAAGGTAACTGGACTGCTGTTGTTTTTCCTTGAGGAAAAAGGAGAAAATGTTTCATTTCTCATCCAAGAAGCTTCATCAATTGTGAATGATGGTGGGGAGATAGAAGTATAAGTACTGACAGTGGAGACTAGATGGCGGGGTGGATGGAAGTTTGTGGAGGCAGTTAAAGACATGGGGCTTCCCACTGTCATCCCGGTAATCCCCAACTCCGAAATTCATCTTCTTGGCACTGCCATCTCTCTTGAAGGCCTCAGTCACCCCCAAAATAGGTTGATAGGATCGCGGGCGGGGTGGGGGGTGAATGGAAGGATTGTATTTCTTTGCAGTCATCTGGTTGTTAGCGCTCTCTATGGGAGCTGTTGAGGTCACTTGAGGGTTTATCTGTGCTGACCATATTTTTAAGATTTTCAGAAGGCAAGGTTGCAACAGTGGGGCAATGATCTAGAAGTGGTGCAAGCTGCAGGCATTTGGTCCAACATCCTGATATTTGTAGCTGTGGCTGTATGATGCAGACATGCAGGATCTGGTTGTTGGGACTTGGGGATTTAGGAGGATTTGGATATGTGTTTTTTTTTTAGCCACGTTGAGCCTCTGCAGACAAAGGGATTGCCGGGCCATCACTGGAGAGCTTTACTCATGCAAAAATTACTGATCATGCAGCGGCTGCCAATTTTGTTCAATGCATAATCAGATCAGGATGTTTTCTTGAATGGCACACACTGTTCTATTTGTCCTCAGAAAAACAGCCTTTTAGCAGTGCAAGTTGGAGATCCAGACATGTCAAAACCCTTTTCCCCATCTGGCAGACAGGCATTTCTGTGATTCTGTCAGTCCTGGCTGGAAGGAAGACTTGGCCTTCCTCTCCTATTCAAGCTGCTCCACAGCCGTCAGGTTGATTTCCCTTCTTAGCTTTTTTTTGGTCATGTGTCCACTGGGTTGCATCAAAAAGAACAAGACATGGATCCACTGTTGGACAATCCATCCTAAGCCATATGCATTTGATATATTGTTCTTATTCTTATTTAGTTAGTTCTTATGCAGCCTAAGACTGCCTAAAGTTTTAGAAACCTGAAAAAGAGAGAAAGTGGGCTAGTTCCTCTTTCTTTAGGATATCAAAAGAAAATCTAATGAAGCCAACTGCACTAGAGCATAATGTATAAAATATCTTCTATAACAGGGTGGTACAGAGCAAATATACATGTAAACATAGTAACAAACAATGGTTGCTAAATCCAATGTATCCTTAGAAAAATGCATATTTTTATAACCAGAACACAAAAGAATGTAGCAGTATATAAACAGTGCCTAACATAACATTATTTCAAGATTTCAAACTTTTCATGGTTTTATATCTGCTTTTAATAATAGAAGTATAATGCTATGTGGGAATGATCTCAGAGGAGAGGGGGAAGAGCTTCAGCCCGGGGAACAATTGCATAAGCAGCAACTTAGCCCTAAAAGAACTGTGAGGGTGCTACATGTCATAGAAGGGACCCTCCCTAGCTCCTTCAGCTCTTAGGTGACAGGGTAGAAATGTATTTTGATTCTGTTAATGCAGGGTTGTCAAATTTGATTTCATTAAGGGCCGCATCAGGGTTGTATTTGACTTTGAGGGGCCAGCGTGGGTGTGGCCAGCATGGGCGTGGCCAGTTCAACATCACCCATGTTGGGACCACCTGTGGTGGCCTGAGCACATTGCCATCGAAAACAGGCTCCCAAGCTCTGTTTTCAGTTGCGACGGCCTCCTGCAAGCCTCTGCCAGCAAAAACAGAGCTCGGGAGAAGCACATGCAGCCCTCCTGAGTTCCGTTTTCATTGGCACAGGCACCACGGACTGGTCCTTCGCTGTTCCCAGGACGGCCCCACAAGCAAGATCTAAGCACCCTGCTTTCTGGCCTACCTCACAAGGCTGATACGGCAGTGAAACAAACATATATTAGATCTCTATGAACATTTTAGTTCTCCTTTTTTTTTCTCAATATTGTGTAAACTACCAAGAAATGTTTGAATGGAAAGAGATCAGGCTTCAGTATTGGCTGAAAATAGTGTTGATGATTTTGGGCAAACATTTATTCAGAACTTTTTTTACTTGAAGTAGAAACAGCTCCTTGCATCCTCTTTATCCTACTGGGCCTTCATCTTTTCCTCAGTCCATGCTGAATGCCAGGATGAGAAACCTAGAGGCTGATCAAGATGTCTAGAATGGCAGTAGTGAATTCATTCTGCAGCCCCACAGTTCTCCTTTGGCCCTTGAGATACAGAGACCAAGAATGCCAAAATCTTTTAGTCATGTATGAAAGAATAAGAACAAGGAGTTCTTGGAAAAAACACTGCAGTATCCATTTACTGCCAGATCTGGCAGGAGTATCTTGTACCCTGATGGGTTCTGTGCACTACGACAGGGATTTGGCAAACAGCAAGCTGGCAAATGAGCCAACAAGTCTTTGTGAAGGTCTGAGAGAGATTTTGAGTAAAAGCAAACTCGAAGGGGCTTTGGCAGCAAGTTTGCACAAAATCTGAACACTGTTCTTTGCCACAGAACTATTGAGTGGATTAGAAATTTGACATCCATTGAATAAACAGAGGAAATATGAGAAGTCCAAGTTTTTCTTCCTGCTAATGATCACCATGATTGCCAACATGATCGCCAACGTCCAATGACGGATATGGCACAAGAAAAAGAAGTGACTACCAAGGCAAAGGCTTCGAGGAAAGCCACCACGGTGACTCATGAGCTAGTCAGAGCAGTTAGTGAAGCACAGTGTCATCTAATTGAGCATGGAAATCTGTTTATGTCTCTCTCTCTCTTTTTTTACTGAAGACTGCAAACCTCAGCAATTTGTTTGAAAAGCAGATCTAATAGGAATATGCAGGACTTCTTTCTCGGCAGATGCATTTTGGAGCAGATTGCAAGTGGAGTTAAAAGAAGCACCATTGCTTAGTGTCACTAACACCATTCAGAATAAGGAAAACTCTATTTTAATATTTCCCCCATGTTTCAGATCAATTGGTTCCTGCAAATTGAAAAAAAAAAAAAGATTTTAGAGCAGGGGTGAGCAAGAGGACATGGGGGCATGTTTAAATTTTCTGGAAAAACAATAGTAGTTGTGATTAAACCCTCATCTTAGTAACACTTATCTTCACATTCTGATTACCCAATTTGTCCACTGGCATTATGATACTGCATTCTCTTTCCAAAGAGTAAGCATCAATGAATTTGGTGTGTGTATGTGTAGGACGTTGTCTTTCTTAGATCCAAGCATGCCAGATCTCTTACCAAACAGTGTAATGTGATGCCACTTTAAGTTTCATTGGTTAGAATTGCAGTTTGTGTTGAAGAGAAAACCATAAGGATATGGATTTCTCAAAGTCAAAGTACTTTATTTTGGTTTATGTACATTTCTCATTTGTTAAAAGCATCTGTCTCCTTTTAATAATAATAATAA